AACCCAGCTGCTCTGCTCTCGAGTCCAGGGGTACACTTTCTCCTCCAGCAGGCTGCCCTTTGCAGGATAAGAAATGATCTGTGTTAAAACACCCAGCATCGAGTCTGGCATGTGGCTATTGCTCAGAAAGTATGAGTTTCTTTTTTCCTCGGGGCTTTTTCAAACTGAATAGGCAGAGATTCAAGGACAGGGTCCACAGGTTCCTGATTTCTGACCATGGCCCTACACAAGGAGCAGAGCCCCAGCTCTGGGCTGCTTTGATGTTCCATCAGGGCTCACGCTGGGGAGGAAAAAAATCTCTTGGCGGGTTAGAATTGTTGTGCAAGAGCAAGAGCCAGTGGGAAGAAAGAAGCCCTTCCTGCAGATCCTCCAGGGCAGGGCTTGATAATCTGCTTCCAGGCTCTGACAAAGCATGGGTCCAAGGTCATGTGCATGTACCCAGGAGGCATTGCCTGTCTCCATGGAAATGGGAAGAAGGGCAGAAAACCAAGGTCCTAAAACTCAGGGTGTCTCATGTAACCTTGAAACATTGCATTTTACACAAATAGGACAGATCCTGGCACAGAAAAAGCTCTCATTTATTCATTTATTCAATAAATGTGTATTTAGTCAGGGCCTTCCCTGGGCCAGGTACTGTTTTAGGTACAGAGAATACACTGCTGTGCAAGTGTGACATGGTCCTGCCTGCTGAATGCTTCGGGTCTAGTAGGGGAAACATTAATCCAAAGAGGGAAGTGATTTGCTGTGATAAAGATATGAAAGAAAGGGCCAGGGACTCGCAGAGCCTGGAGCAGGGGTCTGGTCGCATCTGCGAACCAGGGAAGCCTTCTTCCTGGGAACGTGCTCCAGTGAGCTGAATGGTGGATGAGTAGGCATTAATCGGTGGAAGAAGGTGCAAGAGAACGTTCCAGGAGGAGACAATAGCATGTGCTAAGGTGTAAATGGAAAGAGAAGTGCAGACTAAGCAACAGAACCAAGTCCCAGGGGCCAGGGCGCAGGAGCCGGGAATGGGGTGGGAGCAGGCTGGCCAGCCCGGTGTGTAACAGGCTTCACTCTTCATGCTGAGTGCAAGGAGAGGCCACTGGGGAGCTGCAAGCACGGAAGAGATATGCTTTTTTGAAAGATCACTCTGATTTCTGTTGAACAACAATAAGTGGAATGAGGAGCAGTGGATACCAGTCAGGAGGCTGTCACAGTGGCCCACGGAGATGATGGCACAGCCAGTGGGGGAAAGGGAGGGAGGAAAAGGAATGTAACTCCATTCCTTTTCCTCCTAACATGTAGCTCCAGAGATACATGTTAGGAGCTGGGACAGACGGTTCTTGATGGGCTGGGTGAAGGTTCTCAGGGAAAGGAAGGCCTACAGGATGACCCTGGGTTTCTGGCTGGGGCCACGGGGTAGATGATGAACTAGGTTTCAGCAACAATAATTTGTGAATCTTTCCATTTGACCTTCTATGTTCCAGGAACTACTATGCTAGGCATTGGGGCTGCAGGCCAGGAGTATGGCCCCTGCCTTGATCTAATGGGCCCCTGCCCCCATTAGATCAAGATTAGCACAGTGCAAGGAGGGCGAAGCTGCAGGGCGGGCCACCAGCTGCCCCGCCTTCCTCCAGGGCTGCCCTGAGGGTCCATTGTGTGAGCACTTAGTAAACTGCTACTACAGTTATTACAGTGCTGGCCTTATGCGTGTGATGTGCCAAAGCACTCTACAGACACGAAGGATTATTTCAGATCCCTGCCTAGAAGGATCATCTGAAACAAGGTCTACTATGTATGAGTCATTGCCCAAGACCTCACAGGCAATAAGCAGCATGGAGGCTGAGGGAAACCCAGCAGGTTGTTCATTTTACTTACCAAGAGGGGACACAGGCTGGGAGGAGAAGGGGTCTGTGTCACATGCTGCCTTGAGAAGGTTTGCACCTGGCTCCAGGCACTAGATTTGGTTGTGCAAGGTGAGCCATGTCCAAGGACAGCTGGCCTGTGGGCTGCATGGGGTGACTCCAGCCTGTCTCCACTTACCAGTGACATGCCCAGTGTCACTCCAGGGCCACAGCTTTGTCTGCTTCACGCAGAGGGCACTGTAGGTGCTGCTTTCGCCAGCCTTGCGGAGATTCAACAGTGGAGACTGACAGGGCAGCATGGAACCAAGGATGGCCAGTTGGCACCAAGGAGAGCTTTATGTCGCCCTGGGGGAGGCTTCATTCAGAGGAAAACCAACCAAGGCTGCCGTGGGTTTAAAAACGAAGGCTTAATTGATAAAAGCAACACTGAAAAATCTAGTACATTTTAACAATCTCTTTTAAGGGGGATTTTATTACTTAACTTAATGTCCCTGAATAATTAAAAGTATAAATAATTTAAAATAATCTAAGCTTAAAAAATATGAAAGCTATTAGATTGTCATAAAAGTTCCATCATTGCTTACAAGATTTATAAAATTATATCTTTCAATTAAATATCACAAGTCTAAATTAATTATTGCATATTTTATATTGGGATCACAAAGCAGATCTGTTACATATTGTAATATGCCAAATTATTTTAATATTTCAAACACCTTCAAACTAAATCTACATTGATTTTTTCTAAATATAATACCAAAAAAAGAAAATATTGTAGATTTATCATTTCTAATATTAATGTTAAGCCTTCCCACAGCTACAGACACTCACTACAGAAACATGTTCATTAAATAGAGCAAAGTAAGGTTATATAACCACGTGAATTCGGGCTTCATTTTGGACTGGCCAAGAGTGCTCACCAGACACGGGGTGTGACCAGAGCGCCAGCGCTGTAGTCAGGGAAGCGAATCTGGTGACCCCCACAGTGGAGCGGGCCCTTTTCTCAGTGTCCACGGCAGCAGGGGACTCTGAGTCCACATCCTGCCGATGGAATTGGTTTTGCAACCCAAGGCCCTAAAATCCAATTAAGCCCTGGGCGCCTTTTCTTGTCCCCTGTCTCACCTTCACCACCCCTAAAGGATGACGCTACTGGGTCATTCATTACAGGATCCATCTAATCTATTTCTTTCTTGATTCTCTTCTGAATCAGGTTGCTGCTTGCCTTCTCCGGCCAGCCGCCGAGCGCTGGCAGTGTTTTCCTGCCCTCCTTGGGTTCTGTGTGCTCCGGGGAGCCTTGCCTGGCTCGCTCCACAAACACTAAGGTCTGGCTGGTGGCAGCCAGCTGTGTCCATCTGGCTGGAGCAGCTGTGCTCTGTGTCCTGCTGAGCCAAGGAGCCGCGCTGGCTCCGCTCTGTCCACTGCGGAGCTGAGAGACATCGAGAGGGACCAGATGGACAGGTTGCCTGTGCTCCTATGTCCTCTGCTGAAGGATGTCCATCCTCTGGCACCTCAGGTGCTAAATGCAGTGAAGAGCTTCTGAATCAGGATGACATGTCAGAATTTAAGAACTCCAAATACATGTCATTTTACTTCTAAGTAACTAGAAGAAGAATTATAATATTATATAGTAACATCATGGTTCCGGTGCTCTAAGTACATGATCTCTAATTATCATAAATTTTTGAGTAAATATCACCATACCCAGTGAAACAGATGACAAACTTGAGGCCCAGGGAGCTGAAACCATAATGAGCTAATGTGTTACCAAGTAGGGGTGTCACTGGAATGGCTTTAACGAGCAGGTAAGAAATAGCCCTAAAAGCCAATAGGAACTGTTAAAACACTCAAGTGGCGTTAAGCTTAAAGACTTGACTGGCCACAAAGTGTAAAGGGTAACCATCGCTTCCCTGCACTGAGCACCTACTAAGTGCCAGGCGTGACAGGGAAAAGAAACCGGGCTCCAGGAGGGAAAGGACCCGGACCAGGGGTGTGCCGGTCCTCTCACTTTCTGCGTCACTTGCCCTTGCGGCCGCAGTTTTCTCCTCTGACAAGTACAGGGATAAAACCCTTTCTGCGTGCTCCCCAGGGCTGCTGAAACGAGCCATGGGAAGAAGAGATTTGGAAAGTAGGATGTGTGCTCTAGGTGTGCAAGGGCATGTGACCCTGGCCGAGTGGCCTCTCCTGAGTGGTAACTTTCAGCCTGGCCTGCAGGGAAGGAGTGTGCATTCTAAACCAGACTGGTGTCATCTGAGTGTGACAGTGTTTGTCCGCTGTGTCAAGGATGTCACCTGCTCTCCTCCACGTGGGTGGGCCAAGGGATGGGGCGGTATCTACAGTGAGGCCAACCAAGCAGCCTGCGAGGATCCTGGTGCGAGGCATCAGCCCTAGAGCCTTGGACGAAGTGTGGGCGAGGGCCCAGAGGGAGCAGAAGGGGGGAAGGAGCTGCAGGGCCTCATCCCTGCCCAAATGGGGAGTCCCAGCCCCTTCTCTAGCAAAGGTTGAGTGATGGCAGCAGCACGGGAAACACTGGGGTACACTGTCCATAGAGAATTTAAAAGCAGTAGTAAAACCAATTAAAAGCTGGTCTGCTTACTATTACCACCATATGCTGGCTGTTGCAAAAATTATTTTCTGCTTCCAAGGGATAGGGGGAAGAGGGACATCCCCACTGCTCTCTTCCTTGGCATGCCATGGGCCCCTTGCCCCTCCCCACAGTCAGCCCTTAACAAGGGGTCAGGAGTGGAAGGCCAAGAGGACAAGGAAAGAGCCCTCTGGTCTATAGGGTCATCTGAGCAGACAGCTGGAGGAGCTCCCAGGTTGGGCCCGGCTGTCCTGGAGGAAGAACAGCCCCAGTGGAGTAAGGGTGGTCAGGCTGCTGGGTTGTCCAGGGGAGTCCCGTTCTAGCACCGCCCTTTTCACCTGGGTGCCACCCGCTATTATGCCACGTGCAGGTTATAATCAATTGGCAAGCACACTGAAGGACTGATTCCCAAGCCTGCCCCTCACCCCACCCCACATTCTGTACCTGGAGGTCGGGTTCTCCCCCTTACTCTCCAGCAAGAGCTGCCCTGCCCAGGCTCCACAGGCACTCTGCACTCTGCCCTACTCCTGGCCTGAGCTCTGCCCTCACAGTGACCACCTCTCTCTCCTCTGCAGGAGCAAGGTCGATCCCTCCAGTGATTCACATAGGAATCGAGGTCCTGTAGCCCCAGAGCCAGACAAGGATCAAGTTGCCGTGGGCTTGGGGCCTCTGAAAGATCAAGGTCCTGTGATCCAAGAGCCTCCAAAGGATCAAGGCCCTACTGTTCCAGAGCCTCTGAAGGATCAGGCTCCCGTGGCCCCCAGGCCTCTGAAGGATCAGGATCCTGTAGTCCCAGAGCCTCTGAAGGATCAGGGTCCTTTGGTCCCAGGGCCTCTGAAGGATCAGGGTCCTGTGGTCCCAGGGCCTCTGAAGGATCAGGGTCCTGTGGTCCCAGGGCCTCTGAAGGATCAGGGTCCTGTGGTCCCAGGGCCTCTGAAGGATGTAGGTCCCATGGTCCCTATACCAGTTAAGGATCAAGACCGTGTGGCCCCTGGGCCTTTGAAGAATGAAGGTTCTGTGATCTCAGCACCAGTCAAAAATGAAGGTTCCTTGTACCCGGTGCCTCTAAAGAGTCAAAGTCCTGTGGTTCCAGCAAGAGTTAAGGATCAAGATTCCGTGGCACCAGAGACTCTGAAGGATCAAGGTCCAGTGGTTCCAGCACCTGTCAAGGACCAAGGTCCTGCGGCCCCAGAACATCTGAAGGGTCAGAGCGCCATGGGCAGAGCCCCTGTAAAGAACGAAGGTCCTACACTCTCTGAGCCTATAAAGAACCAAGGTTTAGTGGTCCCAGAGCTTCTGAAGGATCACGATTCTGTGGTTGCAGCACCTGTAAAGAATCAAGGTCCTATGGTCCCAGAACGAGTCAAGGATCTGGGCCCCGTGGTCCCTGAGCCTCCAAAGAACCAAGGTCCTGTGGCTCCAGCACTGGTCAAGGACCGAGGTCCCATGGTCCCCGAGCCTCCAAAGAACCAAGGTCCTGTGGTCCCTGAGCCTGTGAAGAATCCAGTCCCTATAATCTCGGTGCCTCTGAAAGATCAAGATCCTCTAGTGCCACCACCAGCCAAGGACCAAGGTCCTGCGGTCCCTGAACCTCTGAAGACTCAAGGTCCCAGGGGCCCACAGCCGCCCACTGTCTCACCTCCACCCCCAGTCATGATCCCTACTGTCCCCCATGCAGAATATATAGAGAGTTCCCCTTGACACTCACCCCTTGACACCAAGGAAGGAGCTGGCGGTGAAAGTTATCCCTCCCCAGGGCAGCGAAGACTCACATTTAATCTGCATGAAACACTATTGTATAGTCTTGCAGAAATCTAATAAAGCTGGTCTCTCTGGCTCAGCAATGTCTCTCTCAGGCTCCATTTGAGTGTGTGTGTGTGTGTGTGTGTGTGTGTGTGTGTGTGTGTGTGTGTGTATGCGCCATGCACATTTGGAAGTGGGCATGCAGGACTCTGCATCGTCCATCTGAGCAAGAGGAGCCTGAGCAACTCCCAGCTCCTTCAAGCTGTAAGCATGATGGGAGAGGGTGTGGGGTGCTAGAAGATGGAGGGCAGGACACACCCGTGTTTCTCCTTCCCTCTCACACTCCTATACTTCACTTCTGACACCAGATGTGTGGGAGCTGCCCACACATCAAGCAGTTATCCGACAGGAGCTGGATGTCTCACAATTCAACTCAACTATCTCCCTGGAGAGAATGTCATCTCCTGCAGGAGAAGGGAGTTCCATAAGACTGTCCCCTCCCCTTCAGAGGCAAACTTCAGGTCCCAGATTTTGTGTCACTTGTACTTCGAACTGGCTAAATTGGGGTTCCTGCACCCCCTACTAAGTCCCAATAATTTGCCAGAATGGCTCATAGAAGTTGGAAACACATCTCCTGCTTTATCATAAAAGGATCAAGGGCAGAGATGAACACCCAGGGGAAGGGGCGTAGAGCATCCATGCCCTCTCCAGCCGTGACACCTCCCGGTAGCTTCAGCAACCCGGAAGCTCACTGACCCCCTAGTTTTGGGATATTTATGGAGACCTCATCACAGAGGCATGATTGGGCATTAACACCCTCTTCCCAGAGGATGGGGGGTGGGGCTGAAAGTTCTAAGCTTCTACTCACAGCTTCATCTTTCTGGTGACCAGCCCCCATCCCAAAGCTACCCAGGAGCCCACCAAGAGTCACCTCATTAAAACCAAAGGCACTGGCTCAAGAAATTATAAGTGTTTTAGGGCCCTGGGGGCCACACTGAGCCTAAAAAAGTGCTGCGTACGAACACCTCCCTCCTTTCAGCTCTGCCCCAACCCACACACCTGGCCCCACGACCCACACCATCTCTGAGATGTATGACATCCGGGGACATGTCCAGGAGGCTATTGCCTACCAGGTGTGCACCTCTGAAGAAAGCTGCCTTTGTGTGTGTGGAAGGGGTTGGTCCCTGAAGCCCCATGTTGGGGAGCGCACACACTGAGCTCCACCAGATAGTGTCATGGAAAGGCAAGGGGCCCAGCTCAATGGTCAGGACACTTAAGAGGCAGGAAAAGAAGTGCACAAAGGAAGCTGAAGAGGGCTGGCCCTAAACTGTATGGAGGAACCAGGGGCCTGCAGGGCCAGGGGCGATTTGGTAAGGAGAGGGCACAGGTGCAGGCCAAGTGGCTACCGCACAGGGCAGCTTCCACGTGGGAGAGGGCTGACCTGGGCTGCAGCCCAGTGCCAGTCACCGCAACTTCCTCATCTGTCAAAGGGTCCTGGTCCCGCTGATTAGAGGAGATCGTGCAGGCAGCCGCCACAGCAGCATCTCACCGGCTCTCCACTGCACAAAAAGAAGGCCCAGTGAGGGAGGAGATGGCCAAGGCCTCCGGGAAAGGCAGGAAATGAACTAGATTTTCCTCACCCTTCCCGAAGCAGACTCCATTCAGGGCCCGGTTCTTCCCAGTCCCTCCCAGCATCCATCACCTCCATCTCTACCCCACCTGTCCCTCCTCTGGGAGGCCTGGGGAAACCACATGCAAATCAACTCGTGGCCCGCCTGGGAGGGGTGGGGGGGCACAAAGAGGGTGCGGAAGGGGCGGGGCGTTGTGGGGTCTCTGCAAGGATTGGTCCTCATTCTGGGCCCAGAGCCAAATCCGGACGGTTCAATGCCTGAGCCCGAACCTGAGACTCGGATCCCGAAGATGCCGAGACTCCGCACAAGAGTCCTGCACCCGGCCCTTTGCTCAGACTCCTGTCTCCCGGGTTCCCCTGCCGGCCAGCTCACCACCCTCTGCCTGGTACCCCCCCCCCCCGCTGTGCTCTCCAGGGCCTGGGCTCTGAGCCTCTCTCCGGTGCAGCCCGGCTCTGCGGGGGCTCCAGACACGGGGTTGGCCGTGGGATGGACCTGCTGAGTCCGGGTGGGCGACCGAAGCTTTGAGGCCTCCCGGACACGGACCACGCCCTCCTCCCACTGGTCCTGGAAGATGCTGGCGCCACCTGGAGGCCGGCCTCGGAGATCCCCGAGGAGTCCCTGATCCCGAGAAAGGCCGTGACTCAACTGCTTTTCTCACAGAGGTCCTTTCCCCCAACAGATCCTCTGAGATGGCATGTCAGATCCTACCAACAGCCCGAGCCTGACCTACCCACCTTTGCCCCTGCCCTGCCACCCTCCACACCAGCAACGTCTCCGATCCCTGCGCAGTGGATGCAATGCACACAGACCTCTCACTATCCTCTCCTGTGCCCAGTGGAGGCCAGTGGCCTCAGGCCCTGCTTTGTGTCATCTGGGCATCCAGGCCTGGCTTCTCTACCCACTTCCACCTGCAGGAGGAGCTGTTGCAGGCTGGACTTTGGGCCCAGGGGTCCTTGCTTCTAGGCCAATCTGGCCATCTCTGAGCTGCACCGGTAGGATAGGGATGACTTCCCACCTAATTGGGCTATGGTGGGGGGAAAGCTGGACTGGCAAATACAGACTTTGAGCAGGTTATGCACCTTTATTAGTATCTGGCCAGCTCCTCTCCTGCCCATCCTATGTGGCATGAAGAACAATTATCCAGCTGACAGAGCAATTCCCAGGACCTCAGGCAGGTCACTTAACCTCCCGGCCTCAGTTATCTCACCTGTAAAATGGGGATAACCGCCAAGTAGCCAAGTTTCTAGGAGGCTGGGACAATATACATATCAAGTAGCTGACATGGTGATTGGCATGTAGTAGCAAAACACAAAGGCAGTACCAGCTGCTATTATTAAAATTATTCTGATCAAGAAATGCCTATTCACCCTCCAAGGCAGCCCAGTCACCTCCTCCTGGGAACCTTCCTTACGTTCCCCATGGCAGTCATGGCTTTCACCTCTGGGCAGCCACAGCCCCAGGGACCTTCTAGCACAGCCTTTTCACTTATTCCACAAGTGCATGTTTAGTTCCTCATGCGTATGCTGCCGACCCCATTCTCATCGTAATGGGGGAGGTGAACGTGTAAATAGGTGGATAATTTCAAAGCATTGAGGAGTCAATAAAATGAGGAAACAGGAGAAAGTAAAGTGGGGAGCAGCTGTCTACACTGGGTACTCAGGGAAGGCCTCATTGAGCAGATGACATTCAAGTTCTAGATCAGCAAGGGTCTCAAAGAGCCCCCTGCCAGGCAGAACAGCTAGTGCAAAGGCCCTGAGGCAGGAGAATACATTGCCCTGGAGACAGAACAATCCAGGGCACTGGAACACAGTGACCACTGAGCACACTTATCATTGTCTGAGATGTCTCTACCTCTAGATGAACCCCCTGACGTCAGAGATCTAATTTACTGGGTTCACAGCACAGGACAGATCTGGAGCTCTGAACATAGTTTTAAAATTCCATTGCAGTAGTAATGCAATTAGTCAGCTGGCATTTCTGCAGCCCCATTCATATCTCTGAGCTGACTCCAACTGGGTTGCCCAGCTGGTAGGGGCTCCCTCCCTGGACCAACCGCCAGGGCAGAGTTGTTGAGTGAGGACAGAGAGGGTGCCCAGAGGGAGTGAGCTGGCCAAGGTCACATACCCAGCAAGCAGCAGAGATGGGGCTCAAATCCAGTTTCCTCTGCTCTTTTGCCTCCTCTGCCGTGGGTCTTCTACCCTATATACCCCACTTGCCCTCTCCCTCCCTGAGCAGCGGGGTCAGGAGCCCTGAGGGCCCTGAGAAGGAACCAAAGTGAGGACAATGTCAGGTCCCTCTTCTGCTAAAAACACAAACACAGAGCAAGGATCCCACAAGCTCCTTCCTTCCAAAGGACTGCCCAGTCAGGCAGCCTGAGCCGGTGTGGGTGTGGATGTCAGCTTGAAGTGGAAGGTGCAGGGCTGAAGCCTGGGGCCTTGGACAAGAGGACTGAGATGCCCTGGGCCTCGGGTCCCGTGCCGTCACTCTGACCCTGCAGCCACCTCTCCAGGGCAGCCAGGGCTGAGAAGCAACCTCCCAAGTGAGCACCTAGCAGGCCTGCCGCCCAGTGTCGTCTGTGGTCAGCTGCCAGCATTCCACGGCCTGATGTGGGCTGTTAGTAGCAACCTGGCTTAGCAGGAGGAGCCCTTGTCCCCCAGACACGGGCATCTCTGACCCAATCATCTTCATGCTCCAACAAAATCTCACTGGAAAAGTTTTATTGAAAAAAAATAATTGTACAAATAAGTTTTTGGTTTGACAGCAACAAAGGCTCATTTTCTCCCATCCCTCCCCATCTTTGAAAATCTATTAAAGGAAGAAAAAGTTTATTTCCATGATGCTTGACCGGAGTCTGCCCAGGAGCACCCCCCCTAAGTATTTCTTGATCCCCCCAACTGGGGCCAGGGCTCCTGTGGGGAGTGCCTACCCCAGAGGCAGCAGCACCTAGTTTTATAGTTGAGAGGAGACTGGGACAGAGCTGGGGTGGGGGCTGAGGTGGTGGTAGTGTCAAGAAAGAGGGTCCACATTCCGTGAGGGCTTGCCTAAACCCCAGCTTGATTCTGTCTCACAGGGGAGAGAGCACTTGGCTATAAATACGAACACTGATCCAGGACGGGAGGGTGGGGCACGACGACACTGCCCAGGCCCCACAGGACGTGGGGCTGGGCTTAGCGCCATGGGATCTGGGAGCCCGCGTCCAAGCAGAGTGAACCCCGGCTGGGAAGATCCGTCCAGACACACAGGAAAGCCTGCTGTTCCCCCGCCCACCCACCCCACGGAACACCCAAGGTCAGTACCTCAGCTCGCCCCACCCCCATAGCACCCATGTGTTTCGGGAGCCTGCAGCTGCCTCCCGCCATCCCACGCCTGCCCCAGGCCCCTACAACTCGTCTCGCATCTTGTCACCCTTGGGCCGGACGAGGCGCCCAATGAACAGCAGGGAGCCGGTCTGGGAGTCTCGAACCAGGAAGATGAAAGGGTGGTCGGCGTAGAAAAGCTTGGGGCTGCGCAGCTCCTCGCGCCCATAAATGTCCTGGTCGAAGGGGTTGCCTTCTGTGTCCCACTCGAAGGCCGTGGCGTGGAACACACTGGCCAGGTACAGGTCCTTCTTGCCCGACATGCGTGACAGATCGGCCTTGTTCTTGTCGATGGCCTCAGTCAGACCCAGGCCGGCCAGGTGTTTCTGTGGGACCAGAGGGGTGCCAGGTGAGGCCACTGTGAGCAAGGCTTCTAAACCTTCACCCCACAACCCACTACACCTCCTATGCCGTCTGTTCCTCAGAGCCCAGGTTACCACTCCCTGGCCACCTTCCGTGTGACAGACACTGCATGGGCATGTGACTTCTCATGGCAACCCTTCTAAAGACTTGTCATCTCCACTTCTATGAGGAAACCAAGACTCAGAGGGGGAGACAAAATGTGCCCCCGGCCCTGCCAAGCAATCTTGACCAGTGTCTCTCCAAGTAAGGGTCGTTCATGAGTGACCAGCCATCAGTACCGCCTGGAAGCTCATATGAATGAAACGCACTTTCCTTGACCCCAGCTCGGGGCCCCGGAAGCAGAATCACTGCGGACAGACCCAGAGGCTTTTCACACAGTCTTCACACTCTTCAGGTAATTCTCTGCACACTCAAGTCTGGGGAGGGCTGCTCTAAACCACAGCATGCTGGGGTTTAAGACCTTTCCAGAGTGAACTGATGTCTGGGATCTGCTTCAAAATACTCTGATGGGGAGGAATGGGTGTAGAGGTGAGTCTTCACTGCTCATGGACAGATGAAGCCAGGTGACAGATATAGGAGGGTCCATTACACGAATCTATTTTAAAACATGTTATGCATTTTCACAGTTGAAAGCTAAAATGCACACCCACAAACACATACACAGACACACCCTGTCCATGGCTCCGCACAGTCCCCCAGAAGCCAAGCACAAGCTCTTTCACCTGTGAACTGCACTTCTGCCCAGCCTCAGCCCACCCCGCTCCCCATTCAACAGCGTCACCGAGCTGCCAGCACCCTTGAAGGCATCTCGGTGGCCACCTCTCCCCGCATAGGACTCTTTAGATACCACATCACCTGGGAAGCCTTCCCTAGCCCACAAGACTGGAGCCATGCCTGCTGGGGCCTCAATCCCCCTGCCCGCCCTCTGTTTCTCCTTCCTGGCTCAGACCTCGCCCAGGGCAGGGCCTGTGTCCAGGGCTTTGTGGTTCGCAGTACGGGACTGAGGCTGCAATAAAGGATGTGGGCTGAGTACACAGCAGCCTCCGGGGCCCAGGCTCCTGCAGGGCAGTCTACCTCCCCAGTGTGGCCAAACAGGCCCTGGGACAGGCGTCCGAGGCTATTCCAGTCCCGAGACCTTGCGTAAGTCATCCACTCTGAATTTCCCAACTCAATCCACTCCATGGACTGGTGAGTAGTGTACACACCCAGGGTTCCAGGAAGACACGGGAGAAAGAAAGGAAGAAGGGTGGCAGATAACAGCCACTGCAGAGGCAGGGGCTGACACAGAGCAGGGACAGGACAGGGGCTGGGGCAGAGCAGGGACAGGACAGGAGGGAGAGAGTGACAGCTCCTCGCCAGCACCTCAGCGCTCTCTACGGTACAGACCATTAAGGCTGCACTAGTCTCTGATGCGGGCCTAAGCCCCACTGCCACGCGAGCTTGCTCTGGCCACTCTTTCTCAGCAGTGAGTCCGAGTTCCATGGGTGAGGGGCCTACCAAGAAACCATGCCTGGACCCACGGCCGGAACGAGATGAAAGTCTTCCCTCTGGAGTGGATAAAAAATCTCTCTCCTTATGGACACAACAGCCACCCTGAGTTTTCACCTTGAGGACTGACTGCAGCTCCACCACTGACTAGCTAGGGTGACCTTGGCGTGTCACTGCTTCTCTCAGGCCTCTGGTTGGGAGGGAGAAATCATGTTGAGCGGGTGGGTTAAGTTTCCAGCCATCCCAAGTGACCACACCGAAAGCCGTAATTAGTCCTCTACTGTGCAGGGGGCAGCCCGCCTGCTTGACGAGTCCCTTTGTAGGTGCGGGCACTGCACTCTCAGGGCGGCACAGGAGTAAGGGCACGGCCCAGTGCCAGATGCCCGAGTCATCAGTCAGGTGACTTTGGATAAGTTATTTAGGCTTTCTGAGCCTCAGCCTCCTTATCTGTCAAATAACCTAAGAAAGTTGCTTTTAGAATTAAGAGTCTAAGCCATATGAAGTGCACAGAAGAGTGCCTGGCATACAGCAAGGGTTCAGCTATATTTAGGTACTGATGTTATCATCATCTTCCCAAAGGCAGGGCCTATGCCTCCTTCACCAGCTATGCCCCCAGCAGGGCCCAGCACTGCCTGGACACCCAGGGGGGCTCAGGACAGACTTCCTGAGCTCGTGAATGGGTGCCCTGGGTACCACTCTCCCACAAGCCCAGGGACCCCTGAGTTGGGCCACCCCTTACCTGCAGGTCGTGGGTCACCTCCACCACACCCTTGGGCAGGGAGATGGCAACAGCCCTCTTCTGCATCTTGCCCATCCAGGTCTTCAGCTGCTCTCTGGTCAGCATCTTCTCAAGGCGCTCGAGGGGCTCCACATGGTGCGGCATGATGATGATGAGGCTGGAGAGCTTGTGGGCCAGGGGCATCTCCACGATCTGCAGCTTCTCCTTCTCGTCGTCGTAGTAGTTGTAGAGGCCTGAGGAGAGAGCAGAGAGGGCACTGAGCACACTGTGGGCAGTGGTGGGCCAGGCCCCAAGTACCCCTGGGCCCCCACCCTGGCCGCCCGCTGGTCAAGGCGCCTACCTGTCCGGTGCATCATCGTGACACCCACGGTGTAGGAGCGGGTCACCATGAAGCCTCGGTTGTCCACCATCTTGTGGTGGAACCTCTCATCCCAGTGTGCTGTGGCAGGAAGCAGGACAAGAGGTCAGAAAGAGATGCCCCTTTCCTTGGGGCACAGCCCTCCCCCATCAGTCTTCCGGCCTCAGCCACAGCCCACCTCCTGCCACCCCACCCCTAAGCATCCAGCCCAGAGTACATGTGTCCTGGCTCTCCACGGTTAGGGCTGGGCTGCTTCCACGTGGCAGGGAATTCCTCAGGACACTGCTCAGCCACTGCCATGTCCACCCTCTGCCCTGGTGCCTGTTGGTCATTTGGGCAACATGTGCTGAGCTGGACCTCTCACCCCGCCTGGTAACTGAGGGGCCCATGCCCTGGACAGGAAAGGCCCCAAACTACCCTTAAGTCTCCTCTGTAAGACCTATCTCCACGGCCAGAAACGTGACCCCAAAAACCATGCATACGTGACAGTGGCCTGAGCCCTGCTCTACTGCACAACCTGATCTGTGTTCAAATCCACACTCACCCACTGACCGGCTACGAGACCTGTCACTCCTCCTGCCTTGGTCCCCTTATTTGTGAAAAGGGGGTTACCCCATCCTCATAGCACACTGCACGAGAACAGTGGTATCCACACAGGTGAACAAAAAAACTGTGCACTAACCCCAAATCAAACCTTCAGGTCAATACAGATGCACCTGGGCCTAAATCCTAGCTGAGCCTCAGTTTCTCACCTGTGCAATGGAGGTAACACCACCTGTCCCCAGGGTTGTTTTGAGGATTAGGCATGATCACAGGTGTGGGGCCTTTCTGCAGCTCACTACTGAGACAGAAGTGATTACCGAATTTTATTAATTCCAAGAGGAGCGACAGCACTTTTTTTGTGTGACAAAACAGAGTGGGAGCACATCCTCTAGAGTCCCTTTGCTGGGCTTGAATCTTTGTCCCATTCCTTTAGACACAGTGCTGGCCCTCTCTGAACCTAAAGTCTTGTCTGTGAAAGGGTGTAAATAACAGTGCTTGCCTCTATGGTTGCTATGAAGGTTCAATGACAAGCAGGGAGGTACTGAAAAGCGGAGGCCCCGCCCCATTCCGCTCCACCCCGCCCCTCGGGACTCACGCTTGAAGAACATGGCGTTGACCAGCAGCGCGCCATCTGTGCGCTCCACCTCCTTGGTGACTTCGGGCAGTTTGCCATCGGTGGTCTGCGAGGCCCACTCATTGATGGACTGCAGGGCGCTGCGCTTGTCGCGGAAGTTAATCTTGGAGTGTTCGCAGTTGTAGTGCTGCTTGCTGCTGCGCACGAAATCCTCTGCAAAGCTCACGGAGCTGGGCCCGTACAGGCGGCTGCCCAGCTTCCAGGTGACGTTTCGTGCGGTGCTGTTGCTGAGCGAGCGCAGCAGCTCACCCAGGCCTGTGTGCACCTCTTCGTCACGTAGCTGCTCGGCACTCAGCACCGCTTTGGCCTGAGAGGCAGTGGTTGCCTTGCCGCCTAGCGACACGAGCCCCAGCGAGGAGGCCACCACCAGGGGTGACAACAGGATGTTCTCCACCGCCTGGTCCTTGGCCATGGCCTGGTAGAGGCTGAAAGCCAGGCCAGCACTGCGCTCAGCCAGTGTGGCTGCCTTGGGGCTCAGCTTCTCAGCAGTGCCAGGGGCAGCTGCAGCCTCAGGTTTCTTCACCTCGGCGGCCAGGGCCACGGCCATGGCCACGAGACAGAAGGTGTTGGCGAGCAGGAGGGAGCGCATGGTTGGGAGGCGGAACGTGTGCGCCACGAAGGACCTGTGAGGGCTGCAGAGAGAGCATGGCCCTGAAACCCTAGGCATCTCTTCCCAACCACCAGCCCCTGCTGTCCGCCTGTCACTAAGTTCCCTGGAGATGGGACCAAGACGGCACAGAGTTCTGGGGAGCCCAGACCTAACTCACAGTTGCCAGACTAGGGGTCCTCAGTCTGCCCATCTCAGAGTCCTGCTTTGACCTCTCATCCAAAGCAGGTTTCCTGAGAAGGCACCACATTCACCCTAGTGATTTCTTGCCCTGCACTTAGACTGCTTAGACTGGCATGTTTTTATGCACTAATTCCATTCCTAGCTAGTCTGTGACCTCCAGGAGGTTAGGAAACCTGGCCAGCCTGGCTTCCCTCTACACTCCCAGTGCCCAGTACACAAAAGGTCTCAGCTGCTCCCAAAAGAACAGAAACCAGGGCCAGCCCCAGGGTCCTCAGTTTGTATAAAGGTTAGTTCTCAACTTATACCACCCTGGGGTCCTTTTCCAGTGGGAAACGAGTTGGCAGGTGGCTCAACGGTCTGTGTGATGCCAGGGTGCCTGGGCAAAGGACACTGTGTGGGACAGAGCCAGAGGCCTGTTCCTCCCCCCACGGCTTTCATTCTGCCCTGGATGTCAATAATTCTCTGGTTGGTTCACTCATTAAATGAGAAAGGCCAGCTGCTCCACTCTGCTGCCCCAAAGGTAACTTTCAGAGTGTGTGCAGCCCGCACATGTGCGTACCCACCCCTCTCTGAGCCTGTCTCCACTGTCCAAGTTGTGATTGCGGCCCATCTGCTCCCAGCCCCCGGAGTGATGGGAAATTCCCCAGGACAATTCCCCTGGGTTGGGTGGGGAAATAGGTTTCCTGAGAGGAAGGATAACGGGGGAGGGGGTAAGTTACGGCTCAATGCAGCAGCGACACTCCCTCCCCTTCACCACAGGCAGGCCAGATGTGTGTTCAGTGTCCTAGGAAGCTGGGGACAGCCGTTGCCACACAGGCCATCTGCTTTGTCGCCTCAGGGATGCCTTCAGGTCCCCTTTCCAAACCAGAGGTTCCTAGAACAAGCCTCACTCCTCTCTCTGGGGCCTCTAAACAGAACAGTCTCTCCACACAGGCCATTTCCACACTCCCCCTCCTTCAGGTCATTATCTGCCTCTGCTTTATGCAGCAGGACAGGGCAAAGGGAAGGGCTGGAAAAGAACCCTGGTGGAGGCTGGGACCCACTGATCTGGCAGATGCCGTCCTTCGGTCCTCCTTAAGGAAGACAGAAAATTCAGAACCCTGGTGGAAGACCCTCAGGACTTGGGCCTGATCACAGGAGCACTGGGTTTGTGGGAAGACTACTGCTGCAGCCACCCTGTGAGCCCAGGTGGGGTCCCCCAATCCTAGGCTGCCCCCTCTTTAAAGGTATGGGGCAAAGGAGAAGCAAAGACTACATGGGGACAGAGGGAAGGCCTCTGAGTTCCACAACTGCTTGGGTGAAGGCACAAGAGAGATCTATACCCTGGCATAGAGATTTCGGAGGTCCTACCCTCAAGTACAGTGTGGGGATGAGACAGCTCAGGGCCTGGCCACCCTCTTCCCAGCCCTCACTCCTTCCCCACCAGGCCTGGAGCCTCAAAGGCACTGACCATATAATTGTACAAACAAGGTCACTCAAGAGAGTAGAATGAGGAAAACCCACACATGGCCACCCTCTTCAAAGGCTACCTCTCGTTCAGACAGCTGATGCCAGAGTTCAGTCCCCTGAAGAGGCCACTAGCTTGCCCTTGGGAGACAGTCGAGGAGCCCAGCACACAGCCCTGCCAACGTGGCAGACACCATCTTGACAGCCCCCACCCCAGCCAGCGGAACCTCAAAGGGCTGGGAGGAGCTTTTCAAGAAAGCTCCAAATGACTAGTTTGGGATTCCTCAGGCAGCCGCACAGCTGCGCTGCACTCCTGCGCCTGCTCCAGTGACGTGGCAGGCTGGAAACTGAATTATCTCCAACTGCCAGAGGGGAGCTTCCAACCTGGGAAGCAGGAGGCCTGGGTTCAGGTCCAGGGGTGCCAAGGCACCTCCTCCACTTAGCTTCCAGCGTGCAGACAGGCCTCTGCAGGGAGACACATGGCAGCAGAGAAGGCTGCCTGTTAAGCCTGCAGCAGGAACGGGGAAGGCATGTCTCTGCAAGCAAGCAAACCTCCCACAGCCCAGCCCATGTTGTCACGGAGAAATCCCAGCCCTTGGGCCAGAGTTAGACCATTTACAGGCCCATGAAAAAAAATAACCATCAGATGCCCACAGCAAGGCAGACTGAGTTGAGACTGGATTCGGGGGTTTTGTAAGAAAGAGGGAAGGGAAGCAGCTGCCAGGGTGGGCCACCGGAAAGGGTCTCAAATACTTGTAGGGGTCTAAAGTACCTTGAAACTGCCTCATGGGGAGATCAATGCCTGCCTTTTTCATTCTGAAAGAAAACAGAGGCGTGAGGAGGGCGGGGTAGGGCAGAGCTGGGGGGGTGCGGAAGGGCCTGGAGGGCTCGGCCCCCAAAAGAGACCCCATCTACAGCCTACAGTGCCCTGTCCTGCCCAGGCACGAGGGAAGGCCTAACTACTCCCAGATCTGGGGGGACCTTGGAGATGGACCACCTCACTGTAGGTGGGGAGAAACCGAGGGATCAGGCCTTCCACCACAGGGTTGCTCCTTGCGGAAGTCCCTTCTCAGGGCCGAATGTGGTGTCTTGTTACACAGTCAGTAAAAAAATTTTCTGCTGGGAATCCTGGTGACCAGAGACAAAAGGAGGAGACGGGGAGGCCTCAGGAAGGGAGTGGGGGGGGCGGTGGGCGGATGACCCAACTGAGGACCCGAGGGTGTGGTCCCGCTCAGAGACTTCCAGGGAACCAAAGCCCCTTCATTTTCCCCGGTCTCCATCCGGGCCCTGCAGCCCAGAGGTACCAGCAGGAAACGCAGGAAGAGGAGGGGCCAGGCTTTCTGGCCATGCTGTAAGCTCTTTCATTCTTCTTCCTCCACGTCCACTTCAGCCATCCCAGGAATGTCCTAAGTTGGGGGCAGGGAATCCCAGCCTCTAGAAGTAGCCTTAACCCTGCAGTTACTCCATGAACTGGGAAGCAGTGGGCAGAACTCAAAGCCTTGCAGTCAGCTCCCCCTCCGCATCCGACTTGCACAGCCGGCCCGGACTCACCCCTCTCCCCCATTCCTTGTCCCTGCGAGGGTCCCGTCTCAGCATCCTGGCCCCAACCCCACTGTGTCCTCCAGGCTATCACACCCCTGCCCAAAACTTTTGCCGGACCCTGCACTCTTTCAAGATCCTCCCAGTGCCGTACTCCCCAGCCGGCTCTGGTCTCTGCCCTAATCCCTCAGGATCGCCCCACCATTGCCCCCTGGCCCCGGGCTCTCCATCCGAAACCTGCAGCTGCCCCCAAAGTGCCGGGCTCTGGGGTCTGCAGGCCCTCCGGGTTGGCCTCCTGGGGCCGCCCACCCCGCTCTCTCCCTCGAGCGCCCCCGCCCCTCACCTGGGCCTGCCGGGCTGGCTCCGGGAAGGAGGACCTGCGCACCGGAGCCGCGGACGGATTCCACTCCCTGCCGCTCGGCCTAACCCCAGCCCTATATATGGCGTCCCCGCCTCCAGCCCGTCCGGAGAAACTTCTGGAAAGTTAGAAAAGCTTCCGGAGGGCGCCCAGGCTCCGCCAAAAAAGCCAAAGACCTCCCCCAAAACCGCCCCGGCCCCCGCCCTCGGCGGGCAGTCTCCAAGCCCCTGGGTCCTACTGCCCCCATTGTCGGATGGGCATAGGGGAGCCCCGCGCGGTGGGACCGGTGCACGGACTTGCAGGATATGCCGAGAGCAGGCGTCCCCCGACCCAGCGGAGACTCCGGATCCTTATGGTCCTGGAGGTCGGGTGGGGGGAGTTCTGATTGCTGAGCCGGAGGGGACACAGGGCTACAGGGTCCGGCTCCCCCAGAAGCGCCCCTCCTACCCCCAGGCTCCCTGCACCAGCCAGTTTACCCGCCGCCGCACATTCCTTCCAACATCCCATCCATCCCCTGCTAGGACCGTGCCCGTGCCCGGAGTGAATCCACTGCCCCACACCCTCACCCCTGCTTTCGAGCCGACCTTATTGGGTCCCTCTACTCGGCCTCTCCTCGGTCGGGGCTCCTCTCCTTTCCATCCGCAGTTTATCCGGAGCACCGTGGTAACTTCAGTTACCACTCTGAACGGGAGAGGGACCCGAACTAGACCCAGTACCCGACCCTCACCCAGGAAAGTCTTGGAGTGATAGAGGCACAGATACAGGGGAGCATCAGGTGATCTGGCGGGGCCTGGAGGGGTGCACAGGAAGGAAAACCCTGGCTGTCCACTAGTGTGCTGTGTGACCCTAAGCAAGTTGCTTTCCTTTTCTGGGCCTCAGTTCTGGCTGTGAAATGTGGTGCTAAGTCGTTCTTTGCTTTCTTCCAGGTCTGTCTCTGTCTTTGTCCTTGGTCATCCCTGCCCCGCCTCCCGCCCCTGTCTGGGTCCTCTCCCAGGAGTTCCAGCTCCGGCTATCAACTACTTCCACCCCACCCTCCCACAGCTCATAGCCCCTTGATATAGGAGCTAAGCTGTTATTCATTTTTGTCCTGGGTTCTGAAGACACAGCAGAGAACAGGACAAAGTTCCCATCCCTGTCCCCCACCCCAGGGTGCACATCCTGAGTTGGGTGTGTGAATGTTAGTAGGAAACTCAGGAGGGCAGGAGATTATTTACGACTACCTTCCTCTTCCCCAATCTTCTTTAATAGTGAAATGATGGGGGATAGATGGGCACAGTATGGAACAGAAGGGACACCTCATTCATTCACTCACTCATTCATTCCTTCAGTCAACAAACTGTGCTGAACATCTTTCTTCCAGGTGTATCCCTGGATCTTGGGGAGCAAGGGAGTCCCAGCAAAGCGGCAGGGATGAATCATCTGGGTCCCTGGCAGCAGCGCGAGGGAGGGCCCTTTCTGGCCACCCCGGCCTGGTGCTGGTGACTGACTTCTCAGTCTGGGCCAGGCTGCAGCTTCTCAGTCTGATCGCAAGGAATCGAAGAGCTTCGGACTCTCAGAATCCAGGTTGGATATTCAGAGATTACTTGAATCCTAAAGTGATCATCAGAGAATGTGACATCTTACTCAAAGCCCTGTGGAATCTTTGAACCCACCTGAGGAATCTTAGAAGGTTAAATCTTAGAGTCAAAGAATCTTAGAGTAAAAGTGTTAAGGACTGTGGGGTGCAAGGCAGCTCAGAGTGTGGGTTCCTGTCTGCAGCCCCAGGCAGAAGTCCCCTCTCTGGCATTCCCAAAAGGCCAGCACCCAGGCACCTCCAGGGTGGAGCTCACTCTTTAGGAGTCAGCCCAGGATTGCCTAGGACAGGCCTGATCCGTAACACGTCTTTCAGCCTTCGGGCGTGGCCATCCCTTTGGGGTGGCTGTCCTCGTTCTCGCATGCTTCCTTCCTGCCTCGATGTGTGTTGTGTTTAAGGGCAAGTCCTTGCTACCCAAGAAAACCACCTGGGTCCCAGGCCAGACCCCACCCTCTACCCTACCACCTACCCCCCATGTGGCCCTCAGATGGTGATTGGCTAGTGAGCTAAGGGTCCATGAAAGCTGGTGGAATGAATGAGAGGTTCGCCTTGGTTTCCAGCAGGTCCAGATGTCAAAATCCCACAGAGATTCCATTTCTCCCACAATCTTCTGTCACTTAGCTCTCTGAGGCCTCACCAACACCTTAGGGGGAAGCTGAGCACTGTGACTCTCAGTGACTGCCCTGAAAGGGGAGGCTACACGGAGGTTCCTGCTAATAAATAAGCCCAGAATCCTATAAGGTCAGAGCGGGAAGGACCAATGCCCTCTATTTACAGATAGGGAAGCTGAGGCCTAGGGAGAGGCTGGGGGCGAAGACCCTCGGCCAGCCTCCCCAAACTCCTGCTGTGGCTGAGACTGGGTCAGAGGCCTCTGCTGTGCCGCATCCTCTCCTGTCATCACTCTGCATCGTCACTGGAGATTTGGGATGGGCAGGGCCTTCTCCCTCTCACTTTGAGGCCCCAGCACCCAACACAGGACATGCCAGGAGGGGCATGGTCAGTGCAGCCAGTGACGCCTCACTCACCGGTGATGGGAAGTGGCTGCTGCGGTCTGCTGGGCTCCGAGCACAGCCTCCCTGAGGAAAGAAAAAGGCAGGGCTCCTTTAAATTTCCAAGATCAGCAAAAAAATTTCAAGAGCCTTTGCCACATTATTCTTAGCTCTGAGCCCAGCTCTGGCCCTGCTGATGCTGACCATCCCCCACGCTCCTAGGCTCCACTTGCTGGAAAAAGCACTCTTTCTGGAGCGGGGAGAGGCTCTGACATGCAGAGAAACTCCAGCACGGCACGTCCGTGTTCCTCCAGTGACCAGCTCCCCGTTGGAGCTGTTCCTGCCTGCCCTCCACCTCCCTCAGGGGCTCAGCTGGAAATTCTCTGGGTCCCAAGAGGTGTGGGCAGCAGGAGATAGAAAACCATTAAGTTCAATTGTATCCATACTGTACAGAGAGGAAAACTGAAGGGCGGGACATTTTCCCAAGGTCACACAGCAAGTCATTCTTTGGTAGTCATTCGTGGCTAGATTAATGTAGTCCTCACCCTACAGAATTCTGGGACGAAAACTAGCATTATTTAAGTGCCCAATACATTCCTATTATTGTATTGAATACTTTTAAGTACAAATGTCCATGTTTTAAACAGAAGAAAACTGAGGCTTGGGGAGTGTAAGTGTGTCCAAGGGCACACTGCAGAGTTGCAGTCAGACCTGGATTTGAACTAGGTCTTTTTGTCCATGAGGAAGTGGGGGAGGGGAGGGAAGTGACATCTATGGGCCCTTCTCTGTGACCATGGCCTGTGCTGGGACCCTAAACAGTATCTCACTTTTAATTATAGGACAGGAATTGGAAGGGAGTTTAGATGGGAGAAAATGGGGCCCAGAAGAGCTCTTAGAACCAAACCGCCTCTTGCATGACTAGCAGGGGCCACCATAGGCGGTTCTTCTCTGAGATGCTGGCCAGGAACCAAGAATGTGATCCAAGCCCAAAGCATGAGTCAGGGAAACGCAATTTCTCTGCAATCTCTGATTCCCTCTCTCGGAGTGTGGAGCCAGCTGCCACGTTGGAAGGGTGGGAGGCGGATATGGGGGTGGGTGGGCTTATGACCCCTCCCTGCCTCTTCCCAGAGTAGGCCAGGCCCACCCCCACCCCCTGGGCAATCCCGGTGCTGAGAGAAGTTACACAGTGCCCTCACTGACAGGCCTGACACAACACCCTGGAGACACACGCTCACCGACACGTGACACTGCGGGCACACTTGTCCATGAGCACACTGTGGTCCCTTCATGCAATTCTCTCACACACACGTCTGTGTAACCCTCTAGCCACACAGATGCACTGCACACAGCGCAGGTGCTGGACAGGTACCTGTGCACCGGCACAGACTCAAGGGGCTGGGGAAAGGGCACAGCCCGAAGCCCCACTCTCATCTCTTAACCCCTTATTAGCTGGGAAGCCCTGGGGAAGTCACGTCCCCTTCTCTGGGCCTCAGTTTCCTTTTGTAAAGTGAGAGAGTGTGATGACTTCTCCTTGTCACCCCGTCTTCCTGCCAGTTGACATTTCCCAGCCCTCATCTCACAACCTGCAGGCATTTCTTGCATCTCTCAAGTGTGGGATGCCAAAATCCAACAAGGCAAGGATGCGGATCCATTGGAAACAGCATGAGCCAAGGGCAGAGCACAGGGACAGGGCCCCTGAGTCCGGCCTAGGACTCCATTCACTGAGCCAGCCCCAGATCCTTCAGTGACCCACAGAGACCCCTAGAGAAACTCCAAGCCCTTTCATTGCCCTCGTCCCCTTGTGTCGGGCAAGCCAGTTTGCAAGTGCATGTCCTGGGTGCTCCTGGGCAAAGGCTCTCTGCCCACTTAGGGCCAGAGCATGGAAACGGGGAGCACATTTCATTTTGGGTGAACTGGCAGCTTCCTTCCTTCCCCAGGCCCCCTCTGGCAGCCAGGGAATCAGCGCTGGCTGCCTGCAAGGCCGGGCCTGGAGGGCTGGAGGGGTGGCGACATGGTTGTTCACTACTTCCCTGCCCTTTCTCTTCATCTGTGGCCACTCCTTTGTCCAGCGCCGGTCCTTTTCTCCCCCAGGTGACACCAACAGCGGCGATAATACTAATGCCCAGATCAGCCACAGGGCTGCCTTCTTGTCTCAGTATCTCTGACACTCAGGAAAGGGACCCCTGAGCCCTGACCCCACCCCTGCCCCAACCCTAACCTGCTTCAGCCCAGGACAACCTCCCCAGTGTGAGAGTGTGAGAAGCTCTGGCTTGGGGGTCAGAACCCTTGGGTCTGCGCCAGCTCGGCTGTGCTTTAGCTCTGTGCCCGTGATCTAGTTCCATGCCTGGTGTGACAGGAATGATCATCTCGAGGATGATGAGGAGCACAAGTGAAATAACAAATCAGGGAGCACTCGGAGAACTTAGTGATGTTGGCATCTTCATGCCACTCTGCTCACCTCTCCCTCACCTCATCAAACCCTGTTTAATCTTAAGAAGCCACCTCTGTCCTCCGAGCCATCTCCAGTCAGTTCCACTCACACCTGGCCTCGCACACGCACAGCAGGACAGCAAGGG